GTATCCATCTGTCTATCTGAGACTATTCCGTATCTATCTATCTATCTATCTATTGATTGATCACCTGAAAGTCTGCTCCCATTTAATTACTCCTTTACTTCTTTACATATAATTTCCCATCTTTTCGTCTCATTCGATCGATTTATCTATCACCATAGTTATGAACGATCGGTTAGGATCAATAAGTTTCACTCTGGTCAAGTACATTAAGTTACGCACACATTCATATACCCCCCTCTCTCTCCCTCTCTCTCTCTTCTCTCTCTCTCTCTCTCTCTATATATATATATATATATATATATATATATATATAGGTCCCTCTCTTCATATCTATTTTAGTATATTTGCCTGTATATCCTATGTAAGGATTTACGATGCAGTGTAATATTTGAACAGTTAAATTGCTCTTAGTCAACCAACGTTGGTAAGATCTTCAGCTATATTTTTCCCGGCCTTCCCACTAGAATTTGACACAAGGTCCTTTTAACATGGTGAGCGTCATACATATGCATATGGGCGAAGGACGACAATTTTTACCCAGTCCACGCGGTCACTGTCACGCTAGCATTGATATTACACCGACTTTACCTCTCTAATTGCAATAAGGACGACACTGGTGCTGGCTTGGAAACCCCGGGACTGTGCGCCTTCTACTCTCTAAATGAAGAACATTTACTCCATTTCCGACCAGAAGGGAACTCCTGTGCCACTTACGAAAAAAAAAGAGACTAAAAAAAGAGAAAGATTCTTAAGGAGACAGAACAAGAACAAAATGGAATTAAGATGGCCGAAAATAATGATCGACATTGCATTTATATTTTTGAAGATCGAAGTTGGCTGGAATGCAAAAAGCCGGAAGAGAGAAGCACCATCAAGAAGTGCGATAGAAGAAACGCAACTTGCTAACCATTAACACAGCGTCGAAGTACCCCTATGTCGAATATTAGTCTTATTGGATAAAAACCAACAGGATTTATAAGAAAACGCCAGATTATACTTGAGTCAAAATGTAAACGTAATTTCTCTGAGTCAAAAGGTAGACATAGATTCAATCTATGTTCAAATGTTCATCTGAAGGCAGTGTATTTTGGGAGGCGTCTGTTACCTCACTGCAAGGAAAGGAAGTCGGTTTATATAGCCCCCACCCCGAATACACGTATGAACAGCGGAGTTATAAAAAAAAAGAATCTGTTTTTGTCAAGCTAGATGTTGTGCCAGCAAGGAGGTGTCGTAAAGCTCAATATAAATTAGACTGATGTGGCAAAACCTGGGTGGTTAATGTCGGGGAGGGAGCATCTTTAATAATGCGTGGGTGGTGTGACGTTTTGGGGCGAAATTATAGACGCTAAATTGATAGACCTCGAGCGAATTCCAGATGACATCTCAGACATTGATTTTTTTGATTTTTTTTTAAAGTACGCGTGGAGCCAAGGTTAAAAAAGTTGAACGCTTTTAGAACGATAATATTTTTTATGTACGACAATAATTAAAAGTAGCTAATAACACAGACAGAGAGAGAGAGACACACACACACATAGAGCCACACTTAGCCACACACACACACACACACACACACACACACACACACACACATATATATATATATATATATATATATATATATATATATATATATATATATATATATATTAATGTATGGGCACGTGGCCTAGTGGTTATATTTCAGACCATGAGACGCGGGTTCAAATCTCACCAGAGTCGTTTTATTAGGAAGGTGACGTTGAAGTTATCGGTTTGAAGGGTTCGATCCCATCATGCGGCACCTTTGGAAAGTGCCTGAAAACTAACGCCCAAGCCTTTACAAGTGAAATTGGGGTGAACGAAGTCACAAGTCATCATGGCCGAGGGTTTGAGTTTATTGGCCTTGTTCAAATTGTTGATCACGGTAGATAACACGCTCTTTCCCAGAAACTGTAATTAAGGTCTGCTCAGCATAGTTGCAGTATAAACCACAGGTGGGTTCTGTGTGTGATGAGTAAACACAAATGCGCCTGAGGTGCCTGAGTAGGTGTCGGCAACCGGGATTAGCTATCAACCGTAGTAGACGGACATTAGATATGAGTGTCCATCAATCCATATATTAATGTACATTTAGGTAGCAACCTTCCTTTTAAAAAATGTTTCGTTGAATATGAGAAAAATCTAGTTCATTTCAAGGAAAATTTTTTAGTTTTTCTAGCATGCTTTTCTTTGCATTTGATACATACATATATATATATATATATATATATATATATATATATATATATATATATATATATATGTGTGTGTGTGTGTGTGTGTGTGTGTACACTATTTAGATTATTCGGACTATATATATATATATATATATATATATATATATATATATATATATATATATATACGGGCAAGAATAAACAAAAATAAATCAATACATAAAAATATAATAAAATAAACAAAAATATGTAGAATAATTTAAACCAATAAATAAGTAAATAAACTAAGTAAATAAAGAAATTAACAAACTATGAACTCACACATAAATACAAGTAAACGTAATAATAACAACCAGAAATAAAATAATTAATAATATAACCAAAAAGTTAACAAACAACAAAATCTGCATCCGGTTCCACAATTATTTCCACGCAATAGTCCATAGAATAATTCGAAACAACTGTTACTGCCCAAGAATCCGTTGGTAAATAATCCAAGTGGATCATAATGATATAAAATATTGAAACTGATCCACAAAAAAGCTCAATGTAGTTATTATAACAAAGCATAGAAATTGCATAGAATAAAAATCCAAAGTTACCTCATTCGAATAGTGATTTCTGTTTTTTTCTCTCTTTCCCATCTTCTTCTTGTATTCTTTAAATATTTAAATTTTTAAGCTCCTATTTTATTTCTTCATATCTCTGAGTTGACGAGGCCTACAAGTAAGTCTTCGAATGAGGTAACTTTGCATTTTTATTCTATGTAATATATATATATATATATATATGTGTGTGTGTGTGTGTGTGTGTGTGTGTGTGTGTGTGTGTGTGTCTTTAAAGAGAAAATATTATGAAAATATATTTATATCAATACTACCAACTATTAACACATGTTTAAAAAACTACATTAGGTCACCATTTTTTCTACAGATTGATGAATCTGACTTATCTCTTCCGAATATATAAAAATCAATAAGTATACTCTAATGAAAAATTGTTGAAAATATCCTGCAGCGTCTCACTAACCTTTATATATTTTAACATGCAAAATGTTTTTACACTTATTTAAATATTATATGTTACTTCATTACACGTGACACGTATCTAAGTAATGACACAACATGCCATTAATCATTTTTTATCATTTCTATCTTGACGAAGCTTTAATAAATGGAAACATGTTAGATTAAGATATGTTACCGACTTGTTCATTTCCCTATCATATATATATATATATATATATATATATATATATATATATTGGACTTTCCCGTCGGTTTCGACGTATGAGGATCTGACAACTTAACCAATTGATTCAGTTATGAAATTTTGTGCAATAATCTTAAGACCCGCTTGTGAATTACAAAGGAGGCCACATATGGTGCAAGAGTAAGGAGTGTTAGATGAGATCACTGTTAGATTGACTGACCTTTTAGATCTTCCTCTCGCTTCTTAAAGATGATTCAGACTAGTAGATTGAAAATTGCTGAGTCCACCAAAACATGTTGATCTCCACTCTACCTGCTCCAAGGCTAAGGGTGTTATGATGTATAATTGACAGCTGACAAGTTGCTCTTCATCTTGTCTTTGTATCTTAGCCATGGGCGTCCTGCATTCCTGTAGCCCTGATCTAACTGGCTGTATATTAGGATCTTGGGTATCCTGTCATCAGACATTCTCAAGACATGACCAGTCCACCGTAACTGAGACTGTATGATAAAAGTCTCGATAACTCCAATATTACACCTGTTAAACAGGTCTACGTTAGATGTCCTATCTTGAAGGTTAACTCCACAAATTGCACGCAGACAGCTTTTATGGAAAACATCCAGCTGGCATATATGATACTTGTATGGAGTCCACGACTCTGAGCCGTACAAAAGGATATATATATATATATATATATATATATATATATATATATATTAGCAATTGGTCAGTCGGTGCAATAATGTTACATTTGACGCATGACACAAACTCCCTTGCTGTAAGTTGTGAAGTTTAATCAGTAATATTTATTCCTGATGTCATTGGTAGATTTGGAAAGTAGAGACAGAAAAGAACTTCCATTCAAAATTTTACATCTTTCAATGAAAATACTTGGCTTTATTATGTGGGGAGTGTGGATTAAATTATGTATAAATTTCTTATTTCATCTGTATATATATATTAAGACATTTTATGTTTATACATTCTTTTTTTAGATACAAATATTTAAGTATATGCTCTGTTTATAATAAACAGTATTAACAACATTTACTGGCCTGAATGTCCGATAAATTGTCATAGAAAATATGCGCCCTCCGACAGGAATCGAACCTGTATCCTATATCTATGGCAATTTCTCCATATATATAATAACAATCCTTGGTCTGTTTCTGACAAAGAGCTCTCCCTGGATTTATAGTTATATTTGGAAATATCCATACTGATCATTATATATATATATATATAGAGAGAGAGAGAGAGAGAGAAAAACTAAAGAAAATTTTCCTTGAAATGAATTAAATTTTTCTCATATTCAACGAAATATTTTTTAAAAGGAAGGTTGCTACCTAAATGTACATTAATATATGGATTGATGGACACTCGTATCTAATGTCCGTCTACTACGGTTGATAGCTAATCCCGGTTGCCGACACCTACTCAGGCACCTCAGGCGCATTTGTGTTTATTCATCACACACAGAACCCACCTGTGGTTTATACTGCAACTATGCTGAGCAGACCTTAATTACAGTTTCTGGGAAAGAGCGTGTTATCTACCGTGATCAACAATTTGAACAAGGCCAATAAACTC